ATGGCACCGTTTTCCGATGTCACTAGAACCGGGCTGATGTAAATTCAATATAGACTATAGAGAGATCAAAAGAGTAGAATTTTTAAATGTAATTTTCAAATATATACGAAATAAATTTTATCTTTTGATTTTTTTGACCAAATAGTATCATTTTTAACCACAAATTATGAAAAAATATATATTTAATTTTAGTTTAAATTCAATACAATTGAGTTTATCTTAATATTTGTTTTGATATATCAAATTTTTATAAAATTTATTTATTCAAATTATGTTTAATTTGTAGTCAAAAGATTGTTGATAAATAAGTCAAAACATGAAAAGTGATGAGTAAGTATCCACATTAAATAAAAAACAAAAGGGAGAAATACCAAAGTAGGACTAAAACATTGAAAATATACTAAAATAGGATTTCCATGTTTTTATTCCCAAAATAAGACTTACATTACCAAACATGGTCATATACATTACCAAAAAAGTATAGTAATTTGCACATGTGCACTGCCATATTACCACAATGCATAGTCACATTACCACAATGCAAAGTCCTATTTCAGGAAAAAAAACATGAAAGTCTTATTTTGATACTTTTCTCTATGTTTTAGTCTTTATCATTTCTAAAAACAAAAACAAAAGTATAGTTCCGTTACCAGTAACGAGGTCCCTGTAAAATTCGACGGAATCCGTCAACTCGTCGGGGCTTTTGCCGTTCCATTTAACGGCGAGAGACGAAACGGCATCAGCTTCCAAGTAGACGCCGATGGCGGTGAACTTGACAAACTTCCCGTCCAGATTCAATCCTCTCTCACCTGCGCACGATAGACCAACCGCTATCATGAACCAGAAATCTTGACCATAAAAAATAAGATGATGAAACCAAACATCTATAGGAATACTGTATGATATTTGACTAATCGAACCTGCGCCGCCGAGAATAAAGGCCTTGGCGGAGCCTGGCGGCGTCACCGTCGCCGGAAACACATTGCCCTCTACTTCGATTTCGGTGACGGACGGTGGCGCAGACATCGCTTTTTTGTCAATTAAAGCTGTGTGGTTTATGAGTGGAGGCATTGAATGATTGAAGAGTATTTAACGGCAACTAGCTCTGAGCAGTTACCGTTATTTATTTTAATTTTTTTTGCAGGGCCCTGAAAATAATGTTGCTTTGATAGTTTGGATATTTTTTTAAAAAATACTCCTTCCCTCCAGAATTATCGTCCAATAATATGTAAAATTCATTATTTTTAAAATTATGTTACTTACAAATTAATCTCTCCGTCCCAAAAAGATTGGGACATTTTGACTAAAGTCTTAAAATAAGGAGGGATAATTTTTCGTTGACTTTCCAAAAATACTCATGATGTGATGGATAAAAGTAAGATGTGATAGATAGATTATTAGAAAAAAATGTATGATGTGATATGTAGGATATGAAAAAGTAATAGGTAAAAATTGTTTTTAATAGAAATAGGACGTACTTTAAAGGACGCAAATTTTTTGAAATTATACAAACTTTTCGGGACAGAGGAATTGGAGTAATATACAAGATTAAAAATTCTAAACTATAACACAATTTTTATAAAACAAGACAATATTTAATATTATTAAATTTACATAGAAATATAAAAATAAGTGAGCACAGTCACAAAGCATAATAGTAACTGAAATGATCAATTTGGAACAAAAATAGTATTTAAATATGACTAAAATATAAAACTTATAACAGCGTAAGACTTTCTGTTGTTTTCTTTCGTACTGTAAAATATTCGCAAATGCAAGATTACGTGTTAGTCAATTAATGTAAAAAAATAATGTTAAACATATTTTTGTAGGTGTATCAATTTTGAAATTATGTGAATATAATGTTTTTGAATTAAGCTATTTATACTCCAAAAATTATACTCCACTTGATTATATTCTAAAAATTATACCTCAAAGTCATGCACCAATATTTTATGCTAGTGTAATAGTTTATAAATTATAATGACATAAAATGTCGGTTCAATTTTTTTTATAACACTAATATTTTATATCAGTGTGAATCATGAAAAATATCGATGTATTTCTTTGAAATATATTTTTTGGTATAACACTGACATGGTTGAATGTTTTTTCACCTCGTAATTATTTCCCTTATTTTCTTCGTACGGAGTATGTTGTTTTTATTGTGACAGCAGGTCAACCAGCTAGTCGTGGCACGTTCATCTCCATTGCTTCTACCAACCTTAGCTTCTTCTACCTCATCCATCAAAATTATATGGATCATGATATATCCATCCCAAAATTTGTAACTCATTTGTACACTAAAGTTATGCACCAACATTTTGATGTTTTACATTGACAAAAAATATTTTTGTGTTAATAAAAATTTACATCGACACAAAGTGCTGGTACACTAACAAAAATTAGCATTGCACCAACAAGAAAACGTCGATGCATCCTCGCGGGGTACAAAATATTGGGGTTCAAAAAATACAAATAGCTTTACCCAAATTATATTTTGATGGGTATATCCTTATACCCGACCCGGATGACCGAAAGGGACAGGTCAATACATGACCGGCCGGTCACTTTCTTCGATCACCAAATAAGGACAATTCTTCGATTGGGACGGGTCAAAAATTGACCGGTCACTTCTCTCAAAAAAGTGACCGGTCACATTTTGGGCGATAGCCAAATCGTCATCTAATGTTATGAAGGATATTCTGGAAGACTGAAGAAACGGGTTGAACTCAAGAAATGACCGGGTAACCTCTGAGAAAAGGTGACCGGTCATGACACGTTACTTGGCTAACATAGGTCCAATCTCTTAGGCATGGCGAACCGCGTCAAAGACCGAGGGAACACCCCACCGCTCATCCATCACGAGGCGTACAGTGAAAGAGATATTTGTCATCTTGCAGGGTTGATTGGATTGAGAATATCCATTTATAATCTTTGATTGAATATTGTCTTGGCTTGTAGCTATTAAAATCTATGATTGTACAGTGCTTCAATTAACTACAGTGACCTTCCCACGGGCTTCCTATTTTGTCCATTGATGAACAGGGGAAGGTCACAAATCCTCCTCTATAAATATGATGATTGTGGATAGAGGAGGGGATCCAATTTTTCTCTCACTAAAGTTCACTCTTGAGATAGAGTAAGAAATATAATTCGGACTGAGGAGATTTACCCGGTCTAGGTCATACTTTGTGTTCTAGTTGTGTGTATTTTACTACGGGTCGAGTGTGTGCAGGTCAAGCCGGGTCAACCCACCCAACTATATTTACACCATCATATTCATTCCTCTCTTCTAAATGAAGCGTCCTATTTTGTTAGAGCATGCTACAAGTATTCCAAAATTTAATTTCTACTACATTTGTATATCAAAAATATACAACAACATTTTGATGGTTTATACTGACACAAATTATTCGCGCGTTAACAAAAATCACTAACACAAAGTATTGGTACGTTAACAAAAATTAGCATTACACCAACATAAAATGTTGGTGCATCCCTGCGGTATACAAAATGAGGTGTAAATTATTGGGATACAAATAACATTATCCATCGTCCTATTTTTTATTGCATGTGTTAATCTCAATTCTCAAATAAAATGTTTCCATTCTTGATATATACTTTTCTAAGTGAAAAAGATTAAGGTACGAGTAAAATATTGAAAAATATATCATAATATGAATTTTATGTTTTATTCTTGAAATTGGAATTAAAATATATTTACAATGTCAATCATGACAATATACATTACCAAGTACCAACAAGTATTGTGAAATGTTTATATACAATATCAGAGTACCACACCACAATGTAAACTCGTATTCTGGGATAAAAATATGAAATTCATATTTTGGTAATTTTTCAATGTCTTACTCTTATTTAATGCAATTTAATTTCTTCCTTTTCTAATAAAACAAAACTATGTGACCCATAATTTTTATCGTTCGTCTATCATATTTCAATTACTCATATTTTAATTTTCAACATTTTTTTTAAATTTCGTGAAGTCAAGCTGATACAATAAATTTGAGACGTATAAAGTATTTTTTTACTCCTATACAAGAAATATTGTCTTACTTATTATTCCGACTTTCTGATAAATTTTGTTTATATGTGTATTTTAATTAAATATTTGATAAGATAAACTTTTTCGTCGCATCTAATTATAAAACTTTTAATGTAGTTTTGAAATATACAATTAATCTTTTTATTTATATACCAAACTATAAAAAAAAGAATAAAAAATATAAGTTTTACAAGGGGTTCAAAATGAGAGTATGATACAATATTTTCTGGACAGATGAAGTGTTTCTATTTTTGTAGAATTTAAAAAAATCAAGATAATCTAATTAAAATTCATGCTTCGCAAATTATACTCTAAGGGGATGGGTTGCATCGATCAAAGGGGAGGCTGACACAGAACCTTAGGTGCGAAGCGACAACCCTTGGCGACGGCTCCTCTGTAGTCGTCGTAGGTGTAACGCCTGAAATCCGGCCTATAAGAATTAATTAAATAAAAGTTAGTATTAATTAATTATTGAGAGAGACACAAAATTAATTAGGAAGCACAACTTATTTTACGGACCCTAGACAAACAAGGAGTTAATTAGAACCTTAGTATATTATAGAATCACACGTATTTTACAGACCTTAATATATAAAGCTTAAATATGGATAGAAGTCTTGGAAAAAATAAAATGTGAGAAAACTTACATTTTTAATGTAAACATTAAGAATATGGAAGCACAACTTATAATAGCAATCTCGGTCTAAGAAAAACTTTAAATAAGAATTTTGAACTTTTATGTCTTTTTTTTTTCCACGGCTAAGAACTAAAAACTCAAAAAACAAAGAACAAAATTTATAGGAGAAAAACTAGCCTTAAATTTTTGGAAAAATTACCCAAAATAATCCCAGCTTTACCCTGTCTTTCAAAAATAATCCCACCTTTCACTATGATGCAAAATAATCCCAACTTTATTAAAATTTGCCAATTTTGGGTCACCGTTAAATTTCTAACGGAAAGTTAACGGAAATGCCCGTTTTAGACAACAAAATGAAAGTTGGGATTATTTTTGATGAATTTTTGTTTTTTAATTTTTTTTGGAAATTTTTTATTTAAATTTTTTGAATTACTTTTAACCTCCATTTCTTTTTCTTTTTTAAAGATTATTCTTACCTTAGAAAAAAATAGATAAAAAAATTAATGAAAATGCGAAAAATAACTAAAACAATACAAACTTAATCAAATAAATAATGTAATCAATAGAAATTAAACAGAAACTGGTAAGAAACAAAATAAATATATACGGAGTGGTGGATTTTAACATTTTACACACTATACGAGGTCTTAATATACTACTTATTTTTTAAAAGAACAAGCCGTCCGGTAAAATTGGAATTATTGTAGATAATTTTTTCTAAAAAATAAGTAGTGATATGTTAATACTTTGTATAATACGTAAAATATTAAAACTCACCCGTATATTTTTATTTTACTTTTACCAATTTCAAGTTAGTTTCCATTGATTACCTTATTTATTTTATTATTTTTGTATCATTTTAGTTACATTTCTCATTTTTTCATTTTTTATATCTATTATTTTTATTTTTTAAACTAAGACTAATCTTTAAAAAAGAAAAAGAAATGATGATGGAGGTAGAAAGCAATTCAAAAACTTTAAATAAAAAATTTCAAAAAAAAATTAAAAAACAAAAATTCATCAAAAATAATCTCAACTTTCAGTTTGTTGCCCAAAATGAGCATTTCCGTTAACCCTCCGTTAGACACTTAACGGCGACCCAAAATTGGCAAATTTCAGTAAAGTTGGGATTATTATGCATCACAGTGAAAGGCTAGATTATTTTTAAAAAACCGAGTAAAATTGGGATTATTTTGAGTAATTTTTCCTAAATTTTTTGGCCGATAGCGGAGAGAAGTTCATCCAAAATAGTCAAACTTGATGGAAGGAGGGGGCCCACACAGTCCACACGTAAAAGATTTCCGGAGCGAAATTATCGATGTCCCCGCCCTTCCTTCCATAAAAAAAGAAAAGAAAAATATAATCTCGCGGAATGAAATCTCCCGTCACCGGGAACCGGGAAGAAGCAGAGATCCCCTGAGAGAGAAACACCATGGCGGCGGCATTGCCATACTCCGACGTCGACTCTAAGCTCCGATCTATGGCCGCTGGAGCCGAAGGATTCGGAAGGCTCGCCATCGGCGGCCTCAACGGCCAGCTCTACCGTGTTACGACATTGGCCGGTTTGTTCCATCTCCATATCTTTCTTCTTCTTCTTCTTCTTCTTCCCCTCCCTATTTTATTCCGATTCCTAATTTGTTTCTATCATTTACGATTCGTGGATTCATAAGAGCCACCTATTACCTCCCCTTTGGCCATCAGTTAAATGACAAATTGTGTTGAATATTTGTACAAAATTGATTTTCATTAGATTTATATTGCCCAAAAGTAAACTATCAGATATTTATTCCATTGTATTCATATGAATTGCAAATTTAAAGTGATGATTAAAATGGTAGATTAGATGATATTAAGAAAAAGCGTGTTTCAAAATGGTAGATAGTTTTCTCTGTCGATTTGAGTATGCATTAAGTATCTGCGAGTCTGTTTGGCATTCCACTGAACTAGAACATCGAGAATTTGATAATGAGCTCCAAAAGTATGTAAATTTATCTCTCGATCTTCATGGAAATAATTTTGCAAGAATGGGCTGATTAGAGTCATATTACATTGATCAAGAAAAAGGATAGTTTTTCTGGATACTGATGATAAAGAGAAAAAGTTAGCCCTTAGGGGGTGTAAAAGGGACAATTTTTGTGGAAATTCGATGATGTTTGGAAATTTGAAGGACTTGTGATTTTTTTTTGTTTCGATTTTATTTATTGTATTGAAGTATATATTTGCTAGTTCAGTTCAGAATTCTAATTCTGGTTGTAAAGATGAAAATATGCAATGCCAATTTGTCAAGAGTTTTTTATGTATCCTATGTGTTAAAATGATTTATACTCCAAGAAAATATCTGTTTATGAAATTTGCAAACTCCCATATGAAGTTTTGTAGTTGGTGCATCGGTCTGAGTTGTGCTCTGATATCATTTGTGTTTATAGATGATGGGCCCGGGTCACTTCGTGATGGATGCCGTAAGAGAGAGCCACTTTGGATTGTCTTTGATGTTTCAGGTGTCATACACCTCTCATCTTACCTAAGTGTGTCATCTTATAAGACCATTGATGGACGTGGGCAAAAGGTGAAGCTCACTGGCAAGGGCTTGCGACTAAAGGAGTGTGAACATGTTATTGTATGCAACTTGGAGTTTGAAGGTGGCAGAGGTCATGATGTTGATGGTATTCAAATAAAACCCAACTCTAGGCACATATGGATTGATCGCTGCTCCCTTCGTGATTATGATGATGGCCTGATAGACATAACAAGACAAAGCACAGACATAACAATCTCTAGGTTTGCCAGCATTTTCTAACATTGCGTAATGACTTGTTTGCTATGGAGGTAATGCTGAGTTTTGCCTTGCAGATGTTACTTTGCAGCTCATGATAAAACAATGCTTATCGGAGCAGACCCCTCTCACGTCAATGATAGATGCATAAGAGTGACCATCCACCATTGCTTTTTTGATGGCACGCGTCAAAGGCAGCCCCGTGTTAGATTTGGTAAAGTTCACCTGTACAACAACTACACAAGAAATTGGGGTATATATGCTGTCTGTGCCAGTGTGGAATCACAGGTATGTTTAGTTGCTGTTTATTATATACGGCTTGTGATTTTTGAATGTTGAAAACTGGAAACCTCTGCATGGTTTGGTTCCAGGTTTATTCTCAATGCAACATTTATGAAGCAGGACAGAAGAAAAAAGCTTTTGAATACTACACAGAGAAGGTAACTCCACAACTGTTGGTCTTTTGCACGATAATTTACATTCTTGTAACTGAAAACTAAAAGTTTATATCGTATATTTAAAAAGAGCTAATGGCTCTCCTGTTGGAGCTCGGGCTGTAGCGACTTCAGAAGCACAAGTCTCTCATCTTTGGTGTGCTTAATCTTTCCCTAGTTGTGTAAATTTTTTATGTATGGACTCCATCCCAAAGACAGAAGGAAATAAATAGCATCATGTTATAACATGCATAAATATTCTTGTTCATCTATTCTTTGATGAATATAATTCCCAATTGACTACTAGTTTTCAATTTAAGGCATTATGGCACTCCAATGCATTAAAGGATTATCACCAAATATTTCCTTTATTTGTTTAGATGTTTTTCGTTCATCCTAATACTCATACTTTTTGTTTATGGAGCTAAAAGAGTCATTATTGAGCATTGATAATGTTTTAGTTTTGGGCAAATAATGGACTAAATCAAAATGGATCATAAACTTACATTGCTTCTTACTTTCTGTGAAGTTTTTTGGGCAGTAAATGCAGCAATGCATCTAGGGTCTAATGGAAACAGGCTCTCTCTTTTTACTGGGGTAAGACTACATAAATCTTGACCCCCAGAGCCCAAGGGAGTTGGGATTATACTAGGTCGTTGTCATTGTAGAATATCCGTATAGATGTGTGTGAGTATATGACCAATTTAATCAGCCATTCAGTATTTTGTTATTTAGGCAGCAGACAAAGAGGAGGCAGGATCAGGCATAATTATATCAGAGGGTGATTTGTTTCTGAATGGAGCTCAAGGAATTTTAAAACCTGAAGCTAATCAGCAGCTTTTCCATCCAAGTGAATTTTACCCTGATTGGACATTGGAACAGCCGTCCGATTCCCTCAAAACTGTTCTCCAAATTTGCACAGGTTGGCAATCTCTTCCTCGTCCAGCAGAGTAACATTCCAAGCCAACCATATGCATTTCCAAGAAGAAAACTATTTTTTCTCGAATGTAGATAGAGCATCTTACTTGGAATGCGGACATCTCTGTTTATTTTACACACAAAACCATACCATGGAGAGCATGCAAATCTTGGTTTAAAAATAACACTTTCTCCGCCCAAAAAAAGAGCCAAGTTTGCAATATTGGTGTCAGTATTGTGCCCAAATGCTCCCTTTTAATTTTTAATTTGTAGTAGGATATATACTCTCAATATTGTAATGACAATTTTTTCTATTCTCCTTTTCTTGTCTCACTGGTGTGTCTCATGATTGGATGATGATTATGATGATTGATGATCATTGTCATAACTCATAACCACATCAACCTCATCTAGTTGGGATCCGTGGCATTTTTCCATTCAATTGTACATAATTAGTTAACAGTAAGTTAATTTGCAAAAGAGCACAGTGGGAATGTTTTATGACACATACCCTTCCTGTTGCAACCTTCATCAGAAAGAATAATGAGATGAATTGTAAAAGCACTCTCATCATAGGTTATTTCCACATGAATCAAAAATTTCATGAAATGCTGAGTGCTTTGAAATTATTTGGTATTGTCATGTCCATTACATGTTTGATATTGCAAGACGAACACACAAATGGAACAGAGCAAGTGAAGTGAGACAGGTTTTGTATGTTGTCCAACATAATGCCATCATTACAAATAATCAAATGTACAGAAAAGGGTGTAATCACCATACCTTTTTTTTGCATTCAGACAAAACTAAACCCATGTCAATGTTGATGTAGTTTATTGAGGATGTTTTAAATTGTTTCACAAGTTTGATAGTTTCATAGTTGATACAAAGGATGTTTTTTGCTCTTGATATTGATTCCACCCATATTTGGCTTACTGGAATCTGGAAGAGAGAGTTTATGTATGTGGAATGTTGTTTAAGTGCCTTGAATCAAGGAAGAAACCGTGATACAACAGATCATGAGCTTGATGATGATGATGATGCTGAACCGCCGGACATGGATGTTCCATGGAACAAATCTGATAAGTAGCTTCCCAAATTATCAGGAGAGTACCTCACCAGCACCTCCATGCTCCCTTTACTGCTCACCACTTCCAGGTACGCATCATAAAATTCCTTATACGTTGGTACTAATTCTTTAGCCAGTGCCAATTTTATTTCAGCTCCGAATTCTGTGATATGCCTCTCTATAACATCACCCGGTAGCGATGGGTCCAATCTTTCTGGCAAGCATGAGAGCACTTTCGCCCAAGCCATTGCTGTGTAATTTGCTGCATATGAGTTCACCTTCCTGTCGAGAGTCAGCAGCCAGTCATCCCTGAGGAGAAGCATGAGAGGGGAGCTTGACCTTACCCTCTCCGCGATGAAATGAAAATTGTTCGCTAGGAAAAGATATGATAGAGCTATATCTTTGTAGAGCCTCGATTTGGTGTCAAGTTTGCAGAGAAGCGTGAGGATGATTCGATCAATCTGAGTAGAGTCTGACTCACACTCATCACCAGCTATCTCATTGAAGATTTTGGAGCAGTCTCCCATTGACAATACAAAATCCATAACCGAAAGGGTCAATGGATGTATCCCTCCTCCACGGGTTACTGTTCTTGATGAATCCTTTTGTATGGATTTCTCAAAATCAGAAACGAGTGTTTGGACTGAACTTTTGAGTTTGTGAAGACAGGTGAAGGCTTGTAGTATGACTTCTGAGACCGATTCGTATGAGAAGATTAACTTGATCTCGGGAACGAGCTCCGTAATCTCATTGTACATGTCCATGAGCAGGAAGACGTGCTTTGGCGATCTCTTGCTCTTTGTCGCAACAAGTTCTGGGAATTTGAGCAGGTTAATAGCACCTTCTTTTGCTATATGGGTGAAACATGTTTCTCTCATTATTTCAGATGTAGAGAAGACGTGGTCACAGAGAAGCCTCTCCCCATTGAAGAGGGACCTCACTGCAATTTTCACTGCGCTTAACCAGTTCTTGATCTGGTCCTCAAGAACACTCGAACCCATCTTTCTGATGTGGGACGATGAGCTGTATCGCCTTATTCCAATGCGATACAACTCTTCATCCAAAACTGACTTTCTCACAAGTTTATATATATTGACACATTCTTTTGCGTAGCCCGAGCTGACCATACAGTTCCCAATCTGCCCGAGGTCACTCACAGCTACACCAATCTCATTGTCTGTGAAAACACCATCTTCTTGTTTGGAATTAGATGAAAGTGACCTAGAAGATGATTCGTTGGACACAGATTCTGGATCCAAACGCTCCCTATTTGTCTCCAATATTTGATGAAACTCATTCCCGAGCCTCTTCATGGCCATCTGCATTGACTTCTGCGCTTGAACTAGCTTCCCAGAACTCGAACGGTTGATAACCAAGAAGTGCATTGCTCTTCTTAGCTCCTCCACACACCTGATGAAATCCCCGGCTTCCTCTCTGCTTTCTCGAAACAGCATCTGGTTGGAAGTGGGCCCACTCGGGTCCCATTTCTTGATAACTAACTCGGCGACGTGAACACTTTCCTCGATCATTGTTTCTGATAGGGTGCGGGAAGGTGTTGAGGGTTTCGAATGGCTCGAAGAGGGAGAAGAGTTGGGTTTCGATGAAGCGAAGATCGATGCTTTGATCATCCTCCTCGGTGTTGAAGGCAATGTCATCTCTCTCACGGTATGTTGTATCAATAAACCTCTATATTGAAAGTTTTGGTTGTGTTTTTAGTTGCAGTGTGTAACCTGAGCTTAAAATAGAGGGAAAAAGTTTTACACTATGTTTGGTTCATGGAATTTGGAAGGAAAAGAAAAGAAAATGATTTTCCATTAGTTTCCTCACCAAAATGGGAGGAATTTGGTTTTCCATCCTCTTAATACATTTTGCTTTCTCATTTTCTTTTCTTTCCATTTTTCTTTTCTTTTCCTCTCTAACCAAACAAGAAAAAATGTTTTCCTTCTCATTTTCTTTTCCTTTCCCTCTCAAATTCCTTGAACCAAACATAGTGTTAAAGTGAAGTTGTTGAGAAGCAAGTGTTAACTCAAGCTTGAATCTGGAAATTGAATTGGTATTTAGTCTTGGTCTTCCCATAAAAAAAGGGTCAATTATTTGACTCGGACTTAATTCACTGCTTGAAAGCTCCAACTCTGAACTATGTATGAAGTAAACTTTGGTGGAAATAATAACTTATTCTGAACTATGTTTGAACCTGTTAGGATCTCTCTCTTCACCCACGAATCACGACGGTATATGGTTATATATTGATGATTTCAAAATATGCATAGGCCATGCTTATTCTCCTTATCTGAATAGTTCTGATATGATTGAAATAAATTCTCATTTGATTGTGAATGTAGTTATATTTGCAGCTATTTCTGATCTGATCTACTCTGATTTCAATAAGAAAAAGCAATAACTAATATGAATAAGTTAAAGCAAACATGGCTTCAACAGCGGATTTATTTTCCAAGTAGGTAAAATTTTTGCACTCTTTCCGCCGTGAATTTCCATGGTTTCCTTACTTTTGCACGCATTAGGTTGTGTTACGTTCACCTGATCTGATCTGATTATAATAAGAATAAGTAATAAGCAGAAAAAATGAGTTGAACGGAATGTTGCCACCTTTTTGTAATATCACACTCATTTGCGTGCAAAAGACAATTCTTCACTTATCTCTCTCTAACCTTTTCTCTCCTCCACCCCATCTTTTTTCGTGTGGATACTTTGGTTGGTAAAACGTTCTTTTCGTTTCTATTTACGAAGCTTGACCGACTTTATTTTCAATTCAATTTATTTGATTTTAGGTGTAAAATTAAATAAAATTTATATACTTAAAAATATCTCTAAAGTTCTACAAAACAAGTGGTGACAAGACTATATTGTTTTATCAAGAAACTAACTAAAATTAGTTACGAAAGTGATTAAAATTTGATCGTATAAATAATAATTGAGAAAAACATTTTAGCACCAAAGTAATAAAAAAAGGCACACATCTCTCAATCATTAAGAATGAGAGCGCATGGCACCATGGCGGCATGGGGCACATCAAGGAGGAAAGCGGAGTATAAAATGTTAGTACAAACTACGGAGTATAAAATATACCGATTGGAGTATATGGGGGCGTTGTATTAGAAAAATATATGAAAAAATTAAATATTTAATTCAAAATGATAAACATATTATTCGTCAGATCACAAAGTACAATCTTTCTTGAACGTGTTCGTGATGCCAGGCTATAACTGACGATGATTCCTCTACATTTTTACCCATAATATCCATCACAAAATAATTATTATTGTAATTAAAATTTGTTGGCTCTAAAAACACTGAACATCACAAACTTTAAGAACTTTTTAAACATAAATATACGTTTTGTCCAACATTACAAAATTTTTTTCAATTATTCAAAACGAACTTTTTTTTCCTATGGAGTACCGAGTACTATTTTTATGATAATTGATTAATTTTATTTTCATGCAACGGCACATCAATTTTTTTCATACCCTTATCGCAATTTACTAAAACAATTTTGAATTACTAATTTTTTTCCAAAACGACAATGTAAATGACATTTTCGATAATAGACTAAATTTTTCTTTTCAAGAATGAAATAACAAAAACTGTGAAAATGACACACCAATTGCTATTATGAAACGACCCTACAATTTTATTCGATAAGTTATCACCATTTTTTTCTATTATTTTTATTTTTTATTTGGATTGTTGTTTTCTTTTAATTGGTATTGTTGTTTTGTTTAAATCAATGGAAGTATATTGTGTACCTGCAATATCTATCATAATTAAAATATTGCGATTTATTTTATTTGGCTCTAAAAACTTTAAATTTCACACCCCTTTAGAATTTTTTAAATATAAATATACATTTAGTCCCAAAATAGCATTTCATTTTTTTCAATTATTCAATACGAACTTTAACTTGTATACAATACAATATTTTAGGATAATATACTCATATTTTTTATGAAACGTCATAGCAAATATTTTATCATACTTCTTTCCTATTGTTTTGACAATTCACTAAAAAGAATTTGTATTAACAAATATTTCTATATAGGAATATAAATTTTATTTTTAGTAATCTACTACATAATTTTCCAATAAGAATGATGCAACAAAAAAATGTGAAAATGTCATAACAACTACTATTTTGAAACGGAAATACAATTTTATCCAATAAGTCATCAAAATTTTTCTATACTATTTTTATTCTTATATTT